TTCTTTGATAAATGAGACCAAGGAAGAATTAAAAATATTAGAAGGAGGAAATCCATCATGGATAGGATGTATAAACCTAGTTAAAATGGTAATTATACCTAAAGTACTCTATAGATTTCAAATGGTTCCAATCAGACTCCTAGAGGCTTTTTTTAAGACAATAAAAAAAATGTTAACAAGATATATATGGAGGAATAAAAAACCAAGAATATCATACGAAACATTAAGTAGGACTAAAGAGAAAGGGGGAATGGGACTACCTGATGTCAAGAGATACTATAAAGCAGTAATTTTAGCAAGAATTTATGACTGGACATTTAACCATAAGGGGAAAAGTTGGGTAAAAATTGAAAATGAACTGAGTGGAATTAGTTTGAGTAAGATGATATGGGTTCCAGCACATTATAGAAGAATTAAAGAAAGCACAAGTATTTACACTTTAAATGTTTTAAGGATATGGGATAATTTACACAAACACATGAAATGGGAATTCAACTCTATATTAATGCCTCTTGCAAACACGGAGTATTTCCCTCCATGAAAGGATGAGATATCAGGGAGATGGTTTAAAAAGGAAGATATCCAATTGAGAGATGTACTCAAGAGATGTATTGGTTGAGGGGGAATTGAGAACATTTAAAGAATTAAAAGAGAAGAAGGGAGATATCTTTACTAGAATAGATGAGTGGAAATATCATCAATTAAAATGTTTCATTGGAAATCTCCCAAAACCCCTGAGATTAAAAAAGGAGTGGAATATGTTTGAAAGGCTGTTAGAAACACGTAGAGATGGGAAACACGGTATTGCTAAAATCTATAGAATACTCACAGAATTAGACACAGACACAAAGTTAATTTTTATAACGAAATGGGAAAGAGATATGGATGTGGTGTTAGACGAGGATAAACAGAAAAAGATATTTAGATTGATACACGAGAACGTTAGTATGAGAGAGGTTGAGATTAATTATAAGTGTAACGATGGCATATTACACCGAGTACTGAGTATAAGATGAGTGGGGAAAATTCAAAAATGTGTTGGAGAGGATGTGGAGAGATGGGCATGGTGATCCACATATGGTGGGAATGTCCGAAAATTCAAGCTTTTTGGAAGACAATAGTTAAATTGATAGAAATAATAACTGGAAATGACATAGGGTTAGACCCAACGATGTGTCTCCTACATAATGTTGAGACATCAGTAAATAAATATAAAGAATCAGGTGTATGGTACTATTTAAACGCTCCAAAATTTTGATACCCAAGTTTTGGCAGAAAACAGAGGTCCCGAAGGAGGAAGACTGGATCAATAGAGTAAACCAGATTAGTAGAATGGAAAAATTTTACCATATGCAGGAAGATAGGTTGGGAGTATACTATACGAGATGGGAAAAATGGGAAAAATCAGGATTGAAAGAGAAATATAGAAAACTATAAACTAGGATGGTATTTAAAGTTATTAGGCCTCGAGAGATTAGAGAGGGAGAGAACCTGCAGAGGGGGGAGGGAGGGGGAAGAGGGGTGGGAATGGGTTGGGATGGGTGGGAAAGAAAAGAGTTATTAGAAGGGGTAAATTAGAAATGTAATGAATATTTATATGTATTGTGTCCCTTTTTATGGATTTTTTTTGTAATAATATGAAAAACAAATAAATATTTAAATTAAAAAAAAAAAAAATATACAGTCATGGCCGAAATTGTTGGCACCCTTGATATTTTTCCTGAAAATCAAGTATTTCACACAAAAAAGGTATTGCATTAACACATGTTTTGCTATACACATGTTTATTCCCTTTGTATGTATTGGAACAAATATAAAACAGAGGCAGAAAAGCAAATATGACATAATGTCACACAAAACCCCAAAAATGGGCTGGACAAAAGTATTGGCACCCTTAACTTAATATTTGGTTGCACACCCTTTGGAAAACATAACTGAAATCAGTCGCTTCCTATAACCATCAATAAGCTTCTGACACCTCTCACCCGGAATTTTGGACCACTCTTCCTTTGCAAACAGCTCCAGGTCTCTCTTATTGGAAGGACACCTTTTCCCAACAGCAATTTTAAGATCTCTCCACAGGTGTTCAATGGGATTTAGATCTGGGCTCATTGCTGGCCACTTCAGAACTCTCCAGCGCTTCTTTGCCATCCATTTCTGAGTGCTTTTTGACGTATGTTTGGGGTCATTGTCCTGCTGGAAGACCCAGGATCTTGGACGCAAACCCAGCTTTCTGACACTGGGCCCTACAGTGCGACCCAAAATCCTTTGGTAATCCTCAGATTTCATGATGCCTTGCACACAGTCAAGGCACCCAGTGCCAGAGGCAGCAAAACAACCCCAAAACATCATTGAACCTCCACCATATTTTACCGTAGGTACTGTGTTTTGTTCTTTGTAGGCCTCATTCCATTTTCGGTAAACAGTAGAATGATGTGCTTTACCGAAAAGCTCTATCTTGGTCTCATCTGTCCACAAGACGTTTTCCCAGAAGGCTTTTGGCTTACTCAAGTACATTTTGGCAAACTGTAGTCTTGCTTTTTTATGTCTCTGTGTCAGCAGTGGGGTCCTCCTGGGTCTCCTGCCATAGCGTTTCATTTCATTTAAATGTCGACGGATAGTTCGCGCTGACACTGATGCTCCCTGAGCCTGCAGGACAGCTTGAATGTCTTTGGAACATGTTTGGGGCTGCTTATCCACCATCCGGACTATTCTGCGTTGCAATCTTTCATCAATTTTCCTCATCCGTCCACGACCAGGGAGATTAGCTACAGTGCCATGGGTTGCAAACTTCTTGATAATGTTGCGCACTGTGGACAAAGGCAAATCTAGTTCTCTGGAGATGGACTTGTAACCTTGAGATTGTTGATATTTTGCCACAATTTTGGTTCTCAGGTCCTCAGACAGTTCTCGTCTCCTCTTTCTGTTGTCCATGCTTAGTGTGGCACAGACAGACACACAATGCAAAGGTTAAGTGAACGTCTCTCCTTTTTATCTGCTTTCAGGTGTGATTTCTATATTGCCCACACCTGTTACTTGCCCCAGGTGAGTTTACAGGAGCATCACATGCTTGTAACATTCTTATTTATCCGCAGTTGTGAAAGGGTGCCAATACTTTTGTCCAGCCCATTTTTGGAGGTTTGTGTGACATTATGTCGAATTTGCTTTCTTTCCTCCCTTTTTTTGTTTTGTCCCAATACACACAAAGGGAATAAACATGTGTATAGCAAAACATGTGTTAATGCAATACGTTTCGTGAGAAATACATGATTTCCTGGAGAAATATCAAGGGTGCCAACAATTTCGGCCATGACTGTATATATATATATATATATATATATATATATATATATATATAATTCCCAACTTGCACACCTTTTGCTTTGGTGAATTATTTTTATTTACTTGCTATTCCTGCTTTGGTGACAATGGTCACCAGGACAAGTAGAGAGATTATTTTCCCCAGGGAGGACACAGACAGGAATAAAAACTTGACAAAAAAAGTTTTTTTTCTTCCATACTCTTTCCAAAATGTAAAAAAAATGACCTTTATACACACGTTAAAGCCCAACTGAACTTACAGTTAAACACATTCCAGATGTACTAAAACAAACTGTGTAAAGATCACCGTTTATTTTCTTTGGAACACAGCCTTTGTGCAAAGAAGCACCCTCTGTGTGTGGAAGAAATGGTATCTCTGCACAGATCTAACACACCTCCTGCTGAATCAGAACTAGAGCTGTCCAATCAGCAAGAAGAAGAGTTTTGGTGATTGCAGAGCTCTAGCTCTGACTCAGCAGGAGGAGTGTCAGACCTCTACAGAGAGACAACTGCTTCCACACAAACAGTAAGGGTGCTTCTCTGCAGCATGTTGGCAGTGGACAAGTTTTCTACTCAGGATGTACGGGCGTACCTTGGTTTACGAACGCCTCGGTTAACGTAATTTTCGGTTTACGAATGAAAATCCATTAATGTCTCGATTTCCAATTTTTTTTTTTTTTGCAATATGAAACAAGTTTCCCCAGGATGCATTGCACCTGGGAGGTTTATAGATCTGGCCCCATGCCTTTAAAGTGCACCATATAAAGAGTTTTTAACAGATAAATCTTTTTTTACTTTTTTCTAACCTCCAGAACAGATTAATTGGTTTTTCAATGCTTTTGCTAATTTTTTTGTAATACGAAGGATTCCCCAGGATGAATTGCACCTGGGAGGTTTATAGCACTGACCTCGTGCATGCTGGAGTCTGTGGATAAACACGTGGTATCAAGTGTGGAGGTTGTTGGAGCGGTTTTTGCATCGTGTTTTGTAGCCATTCTGGAAATTTTTAATCATGTCCCTGTACAGTACTTATGCCTTTAACCGCTAGCCTACAGGGCACTTATACCCCCTTCCTGCCCAGGCCAATTTCCAGCTTTCAGCGCTGTTGCACTTTGAATGACAATTGCACGGTCATGCGACACTGTACCCATATGAAATTTTTATCATTTTTTTGTGTGACAGATAGAGCTTTATTTTGGTGGTATTTAATCACCTCTGGGGTTTTTATTTTTTCTTAAACAAACCAAAAAACCACTGAAAATTTTGAAAAAAAAAAAAAGTTTTTTCTTAGTTTTTGTTATAAAATTTTGTAAATAAGTGATTTTTCTCCTTCACTGATGTGTGCTAATGAGCCTGCACTGATGGGCACTGATAGGCTGCACTGATGGACACTGATAGGTGGCACTGATGAGGAGGCAAGGTAGGTGGCACTGATGGGCATTGATAGGCATCACTGATGGGCACTGAAAGGCAGCATTCATATATGGCACTGATAGGCGGCACTGATAGGTGACACCGATAGGTGGCACTGACTGGCACTGTTAGGTGGCACTGACTGGCACTAATAGGCGGTACTGATGCACACTGATAGGTGGCACTGACTGGCACTGATAGACGGCACTGATTGGCAGCACTGATAGGTGGCACTGACTGGCATTGATAGGTGGCACTGACTGGCACTGATGGGTGACACTGAAAGGCAGCTCAGATGGGCACTGATATGTGGCAGTGATGTGGCACTGATGGGCACTGAAATGTGGCACTGATGGGCACTGGCAGGTGGCATGGATGAGCACTGAGAGCTGGCACTGATGGACACTGATAGGTGGTGCTGCTGGGGCTACACAGATCATCAGGGCACACTGATCATCAGTGCTCTGATGATCTGTGTACATGTCCCCTCCGAGGAATGCTGATTACTGGCTCTCCTCTCCTCACGAGCTGTCAGCGTGACAGCTCGTGAGGAGAGAAATGCCGATAACCAGCCTGTTTACATGTGATCAGCTGTGATTGGACACAGCTGATCACATGACCGAGCCGACATCTTCGGCTCTTTCCGTGGATCGGTGATCCGCAGTGTCCCTCACCACGATGTGCGCTCCGGGAGCCGCGCATGCGCAGTTAGAATGGGAGGACGTCATATAACGTCCTCCCAGAACGAAAGAACTGCCTTGCGTCCATCATATTACTATATGGCGGGTGGGAGGCGGTTAAAGTGCACTTTATAAAGAGCTTTGAACAGATAAAAGTCTTTTTTTTTTTACTTTTTTCTGACCTCCGAAATGGATTAATTGGTTTTCAATGCATTCCTATGGTAAACCACGTTTCAGTTTACAAATTTTACCACGTTTTGGTTTACAAAAGAATGCATTAAATTTGTAAACCGAGGTACACCTGTATATCTGCTTTCTAAAGGAAATAGTTTGTATGACTTTGCCCATGTTTGAATGCACCTAGAATCAGCTAAACGCTCATTTAAACTGAAAGTTTGATTGGGCTTTAAAGGATGATATAAACCCCAAACCCTGCAGTAACACAAAAGATATAACAGACATGTAGTTTAAAGTCATCAAATGTGACAGCCACTAAGCATACAAAATGTTTTATTATGTAGCGCTGAGTAGTACACAAAGAAATGGCTCTGAGTGAAGGAGGCGTAGGAGCTTTATAATGTGAAGTTAATAATATAACACATGGTAAACAGTGTCATTTTCAAGAACTACAAGTAACTATGTCTAGAATGAAAGGGTGTCCCACAGCTCGGTGTGCTGATATTATTTACCGAAAAACACATGCTACCTAAAAACACTAGATTAAGGGATATGCTTAAGAAATTTGTTCCATTATCTGATGTGATCTTTTGTCAGTGAAATTACAACTGAGAATTTCAGAAGGAAAGGATCTGACATTGTCGCCCTAATGTTCCTTTATGATTCATGGGAATGGCTTGTGATTCTTTTTTATTGAAGTCTACTGAATAGCAAAATGTCCTTCCAGGTTATCGAGCTTTTACGCCAAAAAGTAACTGCATTCACACTGCTCTGAAATGTCCATGATTGCTGACTTAACAGCCCTGACACACGCAGAGCCTTCAGAGTGGCTGTAACAATTTCAGAAACAACATAGTAAAGAGCAGGGGCGGACTGACAACTCATGGGGCCCCCGGGCAATAGGGGATCATGGGGCCCCTGCGTCCTTGAGTTTCCAAATGCCCAGTGCCAGAGTTTCCAAATGGTCAGTCCGCCCCTGGTAAAGAGTATGTACAAAATTCAGCTCTTGTATTAAAGTGGACCTGTTGTAGACACCACCCAATACAGCCACAACATCTCCCGCCAGTAGCAACAGATTCCTATAGCCACATCCCCCTTATATACTCCATAGCTGGAGTCAAATCTCCTTCAGGCATGTTTTACCCCCTCAGTGCTTATCCCTGCACTTACTTTACCCCCATACTGGTGGGCAAAGCAGTGTGATCTACTTGAAACTCACAATGCAGCGCCATGAGGTCCTAGAATAGAAAAAGGCAGGGAGGATACTCAAGAGGAAAGTAAATATGTTCTGTGTCTGGGTCTTTGTGCTTCCTGAAAATGCCCACCAATGGATTTAGGACTACCCGTAGCAGCGTCATGGCACATTCATACCACAGGCAACCCAGCTGTGAAGCCAATAGAGATACTGTTTTCACCTCAAAAAGACCGCAAGATGCTGCACCACTAGACTTAGCTAGACCCAGCTAGAGCCAAGAGGAGCTACACCACTAGACCCAGCTAGACCCTAGAGGGGCTGCATGGCTAGAGCAGCTGACAATAGACCAGCTACCTTTTACATAGGCTATATGGCCTAAGTAAAAGGTACTCCTGACCACCACACATGAACTTGGTAGACATTTCATGAGAAATGAGAGATGACTGCCATTTTTGGCTATAATAGCCTTCACTCTTCCTGGAAAGCTTTTTACAAGTTTTTGAGTGTATATGTAAGAATATTTGCCCATGTAGCCAAAAGAGCATTTGTGAGGTCAGGTGCTAATGTTGGTTAAAAAGTCTGATTCACAGTCAGCATTCTAATTCATCAGTGATGTTCAGTAGGATTGAGGTCAGGGCTTTGGATTCCTCCACACAAAACTGGTAAACTATGTCTTTATGGAGTTGGCTTTGTACATATATATACATACTGTATCAGAAAACAGACTTCCCCAAACGGTTACCACAAGGTTGGAAGGGCACAATTGCCAAAAATGTCCAAATGGCACTGGAAACACCTGGACACACTGGACCTGGCCATATAGTGTATATGAAAAAGGAGGAATACACTGCGCATAAGATATACATTGAACATTTGTAAATGTAAATGTGAGACCAATTCAATTTAAAATACCATGAAATGTGGCACTCGGGACATCGGTTTGAATTTTAACCAAGACACTATCTGCATGAAGTTTGCATATTCTCTCTGTGCTAGTGTGGCTTTTCTCCATGTAGATAGGTGTTTTACAAAAGGATTAAATCTTTTCTGCTGTGTTAGTTTGTGTTCAGCAGCTATTTAAATCTACAAAACTGTTACAATGTAGATCTGTGTACTGTGTCCCTGGGTTGTCCTGCTGGGATTGATAGAATTGAGATTAAGGGATTAATCTTGCTGGTTTTCTAAAAGCTATTTTTCTGAGAGCCACCACCCCCTGCAGGTCATACCATATAAAAAGGGGCTTTGCAATGCCCCAGAGAGATATCTCTTGAGCTCTCTGATGAAACACTGCCAAGATGTAGCCTGTTGAACTGTGCCCTCTTTAGGAGTCCAGTTGGGGTTCCCTATGGACTCTTGCTTGGGAACCCAAGGACTCCTATGGACTCTTGCTTGCCAGTTATGGATTTATTGCCTTTGAGGATTTCTGCCAATGGACTTTTTCCTGGAAAGGATGGCTTAGTGGCGTCACTAGGGTTGGTGTCACTTGGTGCAGTAAAACATGGTGTCACCCCCCCCAGTCCAACGTTGGAGCTCATTGGCATGCGTTGTGGCCATCAATAAGTCCTGCAGGCAGTATTAGGACTATAGGATAGAAATTTAGGCAGTTCCTAATGGCTCAATCCCTAAAAGCAATAATGGATAATGGCCGATAGGCCCACTCTCCAGACTCAGTGAAACTGCAGCAGTGATCCCTCTGGCTGGGCATCCACTCACTCAGGGTTGCCCAGGGGGGCTACTCTGGTCAGTAGCATGTCTGTACCCTGGCAGTGACTCAGTCTCTCTCTCTCTCTCTCTCTCTCTCTCTGTTGGCTTTGGGCAGCGTGGCTCTCTCTATCTGGTAATGCTGGGCAGCGTGGCACTCTCTCTGGTGGTTCTGAGCAGCATGGATCTCTCTCTTTGGTAGTTCTGGGCAGCGTGGCTCTCTCTCTGGTGGTGCTGGGCAGTGTGGCTTTCTGGTGGTATTGGGCAGCATGGCTCTTTCTCTCTCTGGTGCTGCAAAGCAGCATGGCTCCCTCTTTTTCTGATGGTTCTGGGCAGCATGGCTCTCTCTCTCTGGTGGTGCTGGGCAGTGTGTCTCCCTCTCTCAGTCTCGTGGTGCTGGGCAGTGTGGCTCTCTTGTGGTGCTGGGCAGTGTGGCTCTCCCTTTCGTGGTGTGGCAGCACCCAAATATTGTATAGTTTCCCTTAAGTTTTAATGTTTCTAACAGCATCTGTTTGCAAAAACAAGGTCATCAGCTTACTTCCCCCCTCCCTTATTTCCTGTGGAATAATGTGTTCCAGTCTATATCTGGTACTCTTATTTTCAGCTGAAGATACGTTTATCTAGCAAGGTCATATCCTGCACTGTTTATAAAGTATTTTAAATGTACAGAAAGTGAAAAAGGAAATATATGCATTGTGACGTAATTGCTGTTATATACAGTATACCCTGTAAGATGCTTTTTCAAGGCACTTATCTTTGCAGACATTAGTCTGGCTTAGTCACCAGCTGGTTAATAAAGCTTGTTTTCCTCAAGTTTGTGTCCAGAGTTTTACCTGGAATTCCCAAAGTTGCCATTACAGTGGTACTGGATAGCGTGTGTCTCTCTCTGTCGTGGTGTTGGGAAGTGTGTGTGTCTTTCTCTCTCTGGCTTCCTACAGCACAGTTCTCTCTTTTCCTCTCTTTCTTTTTTTCCTGTCTCCTGTAGCATTCACTCCATCAGCTTGTTCCCGGGCTACAGGCTTTCTTCTTCCCCGCAGCAGAGTGCATGTTGGGGGCTGTAGTTTGCTCCCAGTGGCCAACAATGGGGCCTCCAATCTTCTGGGATTACATGTCCATGGTGCTCGTCTTTTCTGATTGGCCCCCAGCTGTAGCCAATGGGGAGGGAAACAGCAGGCAGTAAGCTGAGTGGCAAATCTTATGAGAGCTGCTCTCACTTCTACACTGCTGACAGAAGAAGAGGGGGGCCAGTTCTCTGGCAGACCTAGAGCAGGAGAGGGGAGCCTGCTGTCAGCGCTTTACTGGCTCGACAGCACCCTATTTGATGGTGTCAACCCTCTGGCAGGTGTCACCCAGGTGCGAAACTCATCCCTCTACATCCCCATAGGGACGCCACTGGGATGGCTTCATGAACTTGCTTAAGGTACAGTCATTTTATGGGGCACTTAGAAAACTCTGTACAGGCATGTATGTGAAGTTGCTTGGAAGAACTATGCTGGTGCATTACTTCAGTAACTACTGTTATTGTTATTTCTAAATGTCTGGTCTGATGTTTCTTAAAGGGGTGCTATGCATGGCATATCAAAATAACTTGGCTTACATCAAGAGGACTGTTGGTTAGAGTAGACACAGTACACTTGGATGGGGATGCTGTCTGCTACAGGATACATTGCCGTTGCAAGGGCCAACCGTACATGTATCTAAATGCGGCCAACCGTACATGTATCTAAATGCAGCCAACCAGCCAGAGAATGGGTGACTTCACAAGGGTAATGACTACCCTGGTAGTGAAAGTGTGGTATGCTTGCCCCCTTTACTGGAAACCAATGCCCCTGACACACTGAGACTGACCTTTTGGCATGGAGTGCTTAGGGATCTTGCTTTAGAGGTCACAGGAGAGTACAAGTACAGTATGTAGTTACATTAAAGAGCATTCCCTGTATCCAGTAAGAAGAGTCTGACATGT